TACTCAGGGAGGCTTGTACTCTGCCACATTTTTACCTTTCCTAACATGATATGAAAAATACAATCCTAAATTGTTTTCAAAACATTAAAGATATTGTTCAGATTCATACGTTTTTTTAGTTATGCTTAAGATTATGACTTGTTTTCTAGACTTTGGAAGTCAAACTGCAGTAATATTCTGCTGAGAATAAGAAGTTCTGAAAAAGATCTAAGTAATACCCACTGTTGGAGTACAGGCAAGTAATGATTCAGAAAATCGGTAACTGAGACACATATAGGTCATGATTTCAAATCTGCTCCAAGATAGTGGTAAAAAAGGGGTGATACTGATTAACACATGCACAATACACATAAAATTATACTGACACAATGTCACTTGGAAACCTGTCATCACCTGAAAGAGAAAACTCAGATCTTATTATGATCTTTATGTTTTGTTCTAAAATAATTTATTAGTTAAATCTGGTAAAATAAAAATAGTAATTACACTTGTTTTTGTGAAGACTTGCAATGACCCTTCAGGTAGAACAAAATCGTCCTTACTCCTTAGTTCTTTTGTCTGCTGCTGCTATGACATTACTAGGGAGTTTCTCTCTTTAAATTCAATTTGTACATGAATGAATTTGAATTTTCTAATATGAATTTTATGAATTCTCTGCCTGACTGATCATTTTTTTTTCCTTTTTGTTTTTTCCCCTTGTCTTTACTTTTAAAACTTCCTGCAACCTAGGTATATTTAAATGTAAAGTCTGTTGCTCTGTAACATTAATACACCAAGTCTTTACTTCTCTTTCATTCTCCTGTAATAATGTTTATCATGGAAGAAAAAACTATTTCATTCACATGATACTATTCCACTTCCTTGAAATTCCTCTCTTGAGACATTCAAATGAATATTATACATGAATAGAGATGATGATAAGCTAGATGATGACAAACTAATTTCATTAATTAAAATTGCCTAATGTATAGTACAAACTCAGAAAAGTTTAGAATCTTGTTTACTCTTTACCTAAGGTGAATATGATAACGAATAGTATCATTTGCTACCTGTATACTACCCTGGTTCTTAATAATAACTAAACCAGCTACCATTCTCTTAAGTAACCCTAATAACTGTTACCAAAGTATTTTTGTAGAAAAATAACTTAGGACTTAAGTGTGAATGTACTTTATTAAAGCAAAGAGGTCACGCATTTGAATCCAAATAACAGTTGTACAAACTGCAACTTTCATGAACTATCTCATTCAGTTAGTGTGTTTATATATTGTAGCCAACATGAGAACTGAATGCATATTGTAGGACTTAAGTGTGAATGTACTTTATTAAAGCAAAGAGGTCACGCATTTGAATCCAAATAACGGTTGTACAAACTGCAACTTTCATGAACTATCTCATTCAGTTAGTGTGTTTATATATTGTAGCCAACATGAGAACTGAATGCATATTGCTGTCATACTGCAAAGAGCTTTGAGAAGCTTGTATGGAAGGCTCAGGAGGTTATTAAGAAAAGAGAACATTTAGGTAGTAATTTGTTTGTGACTATCATAGATGAAGTGCTAGAGCAATCCTAAAAAGCAGAACTGAAATCAATCAGTTTAACGTATTAGGAATGACAGCAACAACAAGATAAAGAGAGGAAATAACGATTTGAGAAAATCTGGAAACCTAAATTGCAATACATTTCATAGGTATCAAATTCACTTAGAAGAAACAAACAAACCTGCCCAAGCTAGTACAGTCTCTCTCCCACCCACTGGTATAGTGAAATAGGTTTATTCTTTCGGGCATCTCAAAGTAACAAAAATCCAATGTAAGGCAATGAAAGTTATCCCTATAACTGATGTTTACCATAATCATGCATATTAAAAAAGAAAATTTTAAATAAAAACTCTTTTTTAGTATGTTTTATGTATATATTTACTTGCACTGGAATAGAAAGCATAAGTCATATTTTAATAACTGTACTTAATAAAAAATGTGTGATTAAAAACAAATGTCTTAGCTGCAGAACATCTTAGTCAAAATAGCTTAAATATTTCAAAAATGTGGGAGGGGATAACATCCTAATTAAATAAAACCAGTCAGGTGAGTTGATAACTAATTAGTAACTGATAACTCAGAACAAAGCTTCAGAAATGCTTGATGAGGCAGGTAAGACCAACAGACTTACTCTGAAGCTGAGGCTGCTGGAAGGAAAGGGGCTGTCCGAACACAAATGGGCTGTGGACTAGGGAAGAGGGAGGTTTTGCAGCTTGATCAAAGATGGAAGGAGCTGGGAGATTGGGCCGTGACTGAATGGAATTCAATATGGCACTCAGTTGGTCACCTGCAGTGGGCAAAACAGTCAAAACTACAACTTGTTATTCATTAACATCCAAAATGGCAAAGTAAATGGTGCTTTACAACATTCAGATACAGTTAAACACTAAATAAAACTATGCCAATTCAGAAATGTGTGGAAGTTGGTGATCATTATCCTCAAACTAGGGACCAAATTTGGCATGCTGTTTAAAATGGAAGCACCCACCAAATCTTATATAGCACCCACCTACAAAATCAATTTCATTTAAATTCACATAAACATCTCCCACTGTTTGTGAGAGAATAGTCTATGAAGAATCTATGATAAGTTGCTTCAATAGCGTACATATATAAATGAAGATCTGAGTAAATGATGTTTTCTCCATAGTGCCCAACAATGGCTAAAACTACCCTGCCTCGTCCGCAGGATAAGAGTATTTAATACAGCAAATAAGCAAATAGTGTGTGAACAGTTTTCCTTTAAAATGCAGAACCGAAGTAGGCAAAGTATATATTATTAACTGAACAGTATGTTTACGTTATAGTTATAAATTAATACTTTCTTCTAAGTTGTTACTGCCAAAGAAATTCTTTTTTAAAAGCATAAACTCTTTTTCTTGAATGAATAATATAAAATCTGTAAGTCCTATAAGTCAAAAAAGTATATAAGCTACCTAATTTGAAGTGTCTCAAATATAAATTCTGACATTTTTCCTCATAATTAAGTACAAAGGACTCTAATAGAAAAATATTTTTAAAGATATAAAATAATATAATTAGATGAATAACTACTTATTTGTGAGAATACGTACATTAAATAGTTTAAATAACGCTAAAGAAGAGGGGAGAAAAAACCATACACAGACTAGTTGATGCAGAAACTGGAAAACAGTATCTTTCCAGTCATATTTCCTGAACATAATGAAGTTTCATAAATGAAAATTTCAACTGAAGCACCAACAAGAGACAGATTTATATGGAAAGATGTGTGTATACAGCTACACGTCTATTTTAAATAAATAAATGCTGTAGATTACAGAAAGAATTTTAGAGATTATGAAGAATTTTGTAAAATATTGTTTTAAGGAAAAAACCTTTTTCAAAAAATAGTTCCTTTATCTTGGACAGTACAGAGTTAAAATGGGGACTACTATTAAAGGTAATAAGTAAATAAATATTACATGTATTTCATCAAATTTAAGTTTTTTAATATTTCTTTGCTCCATCTAAATATTTTAAAAGCCTACTAACAAGTGTATGCTATTTTTTGAACAATGTTCATAAAATTCTATTTTAAAAAAGTAACACTTTATTAATTTAATAACAAATGTTCTCAGCAATGTTTATGTTTCTTGAAATTGATTTTTATTCTTAAAATGTTTTACTAAATTATAAAGACTGATTTATAGTGATAGCCATCAGTACAGTGACTGACATTTCAAAGATTAAAAGCATACAATTTGAATTAAACACAGCTTTAATAGAGGTTATAGTGGTGGTAAGTAAATGCTGAGATTTTCTTTTAAGACTTGACGAGGATAGAGAGAAAGGGACATGAAGAAAACACCACCAAGTATTTACCCTACATAAGTATGAAGATTTAGCTTAAGTTAATGGAAATCAGAGCCACCAGAAGTGAGCAAGCAGATAACACCCAAGCCTATGAGACAGACCAATCCAAAGAGGCACAAAGAAATCTTGTGGCTTGGTTTTCTTCATAAAAATACCTTGTGGAAAGTAATGAAGACAACTAATAGAAAGTTTTATTTTAAACTGAATATTTCTTATACACTGATGTAATTCTGTATTTTGTTCACTATTTCATTTTTTCACTTGCTATACAGGTCAGGTATAATGATACTATATTTTTCCTTTGAAATCAAGTCCTGTGAATCAGTTTAAATAGAATTTTAAAGTAAAATTATTTCCATGTAGGCTACTTTCTCCCTCCTACCCATCACCCAACTGTATGTGACCTGCTGACAACACGGCTGATTGTGAAGGAGTCAGGATTACGGACATAGAAAAGAACAAGAGTGATTTTAATACAAACGCAATTTTGGATGAACTTCAGGTATAAATTATTCCAATATAACTATTGTTTGGACTGTCCATGATGCTGGTCTCTTCCATTAATGCAGTAAAAACAGCCGTAGACATTTCATATTCATATGGCTAAAGGCTTTTGTTTTTCTTTTTACATCTTTCTGTTTTCATTATACATACTCAACCCCTATATATCATTTCATATAATTCTAGATTAAGATAACTGGGTTAGACATTCAAAACCACATATACTTTATAAAGCTCATGTATAAAACTACTTAAAATAATATTCTGATTTTAAATGGATCATTTGGGAGAGTTCTTTGTTGCTCATTAATTTTACTCTTCTAATAATAAATGAATGATAAAAATAATTATTTTACTAAAGTGACACAGATCTTTAGGATATGAATTCATAATGAGTATTTTTAAAATAGAAGAAAATAAGCAAAAACTTTCATAAACTTAAAACTGGTAAAAATAATACTGCAAAAAGAACACCTTTGTAAACATTTTGAGTGTTAATTTTCTAGAAACAAATTTTAAATTAATAAAGATTTCTGGGTGAACAGGAATAAAAATGAATAAAAGGGAAGGTAATAAAAACTATTGAAGTTAGATAAGTAAAAAACTCACTTTTAGCCACCTACCTTTATTATTTCCAAGTCCATAATCAAATCCTTGGGCACTGCAACTTGCCCCTTTATTAAAGGCTTGTACTGAGAAAGGGCTTGGAGGAGGAGTTTGAGGATTTTGATCCAGAAGAACTTGTTCTACAATAAAGTCACAGCTATAACATTAGTTTCTTATGTGCTATACCCTATTCATTCAACCAAAAGAAAATTGTAAAAAAAAGATTTTATAATGGTTAGATTTTAAAATGACCTCACATTTAGATTTGATAAGTCTAAATACCAGTTAGTCATCTTAACACTGACATAGCATCTGATAAAATTTTGTTTTATTTATCAAATACACAGTGAAATTTCAAAATGAGATGTGCTCTTATGGAGCCAATTTATTTCTATCGTGATAGGATACATCAATGAATGTATACTAATATTTCTAGACCAGTAACTCTTTTATTTGTTACAACGGTATTTTGCAAAACAAATGGATAACCTATAAACCAGAAATCAAAATATTTTGTATATTAGAACTCAAATAGAGAAAAAATTTTCAAAATGTCTAAGTATCCAGTACCAAAAGAACTTTTCACTCATAAAATATTTTGTTATGAATGTGACAATTATGAAAAATTTCACTTTTAACTTATTTTTACTTATTACATAAAGACAGTTTTCCTAAATGAAAAGATCATAAACCAGGTCTCATAATCAGAGTGTATTAACACATCCTGAAGTCAACAAATGTGTTAGAATTCTTATTTCAAGGAGGAAATGGCAAGCATTTTATCCAGTTTACAAATGACAAGATGTAAACTCTGAAATAGGTATACTAAGTTAATCCCCTATGAACAATCAAAAGTGGCTCTAAGACTTTGTCTGATATAATACTAAAAACAATAATATCATAGTTAAAGAACCATATTAATGCCAGCTTTAAAAAAAAAGGCAAAATAAAATCTGTCAAATGAAAAGCAACATGGAAAAAGCATTAAAGAAAAGCCATTAAAATAACATTATAAAAATGAAACGTTTTAAAGACATTTTCAGAAGTCAGTATCTCTTTTAACACAACATGGAACTATAGGAATGTGGTAGAGTGTTTTTCTCCTATCTGTAAAATGAAATTCTGCTGAACCAGTGGTACTATATGGTCTACCCCTTTACCATCATTTGTAGACTTTATTCAAAAAAAAAACAACCCCAGCACTTCCCTCAGGCAACACTTCAGTATGATGTATTTCAGCAGTGGAACACTTCTCATGGGGAACACCCTTGAACAGTAATCTGAACAGAAAAGACGGCATCGCTCTCACCTTTTAGACTCAGAATGATCTAGCACACAGAGTAAAGTCTGTTTTTACCACAGCAGCAACTTTGCTTACTAGTTTTATTTACAGATCTCAAAGACCAATGAAGATTTTTTTTTTCCTTTTTGTCTTTTTTCGTGTCCGGCAACAGATCGCAACCCTCAGTGTCGCGCCCGTACCGGACCGGGACTGGCAACGGGATCGCAACCCTCGGTGTCGCGCCCGCACCTCGCCCAGCCAGTGAGCGGGAACCGGTCTGTATGTGGGATCCGAACCCTCGGCGGGAGCGCCGCCGCGCTCCCAAGCGGCGCACTGTAGCAGTGCGCCACCGGGCCGGCCCCCAATGAAGAATTTTTACAAAGAGGAAAGCTTTTATTTCACTTAAACTTCTTTATATAAATAACCATAGTGCCAAATCCTCTTATTTCCATATTAAATACAGTTGCGCACTAATACCAATGAGCAGACTGTTTGGTATCCCATTAACTAATCTCAGTGATTTGAAGGCACAAACATCATATTACTTCTTTCCTTATCAATCTAGGTTTTGTGTTAAAATTTTAAGACTCACGTTATGTATGTGTACACATATGTGTATATATACAAAAATAGTAAAGGATGGTTAACTGATTACAGACAGAAGTGTAATCTTCTCTTAAACCTCTTTTAGGGTTAAATGTATATCTCACCAGAAATGATATCCTAGTTTAAGAAGCATTTTGTCTTGGAAGAATCTTCTACCTTCTAAGTTTATGAGAATACAATTTCCCACGTTAAAAGTTCTTCCTTAGTATAGAGGACATTTTACATTTATACCTAAGCTTACCATCTACTAGCTTTTTATGTTATTTGCTCATTTCTCTTCATATCAAATATTTAAGATCACGACTTCTGAAGTAATTTTGTAAATGAGAAAACTGAGGCACAGGGATTTCAGATTAACTTGACCAAGGTCACCGGCTAAAAATGCTGAGCTGGGATTAGTACCCTGGCAGTCCAGCTCCAGAGTTCACTCTTACACAGTATGTTATACTCCCAGTTAAAAAAATTTTAAGCTAGAAAGGTCCTAAGATACTCTCATATTATTTCACTGTATCTTAATGAAGCTGATCTCACTTTAGGTATTTTCATTTATATCTGATTATTCCTATAAAAAGTAAAATGTTTAAAATTTTATTAATATGTATTAATATTTCTTACATAGAAATATATAGTAAGAATATTGTAAATGAGGTTACTCTGTAAATGCCTGATTGATATCAAACAGAGTCATTTTCTTTCTCAAAATATAATGATGAACATAGTTCTACCATGTCAAAACATTATTTTATGACCACATCATCTTTGACTAAAAAAAGTTTACCTAATAAAAACAAGGGGAGGAAGTAGGTTTTTAAATTATGTTCAATGTGTGGCATGGTGTAATGAGCATAGCATTTAAAATATGAATAAAGATTCTGGCTCAAGTCTCACATCTGCCATGTAACCAGCTCTGTAACCACAAGCAGATCATTTTAAATTATAAGAGCTTTAGTTTCCTTGCCTATAAAAACTGAAGATTATATCACCTACCTCAAAAGCTTGTTGTGGGGAAAAAAAGGAGATAATATATCTAAATGTACATCACCATTCACAAAAATTTCAAAACTTTTTTGAATCTATATTTATAGGCACATTAACTCTTAGAAAATGAATATTATATATTTATTGTCTTTTGGATGGAAAACCATGTTCTCTTATTTATCTGAGCTTATCCTATAAATTCTGTGATTTGGTAGACAAGTCTATGCTTGCTTATCTACTTATTTTGATGTACTATTATTTTTATAATTCCACTTATATTGACAAAAGTTCATGAGCAACTAGTATGTGTCAAAACTGTTGTAGAAGTAGGAATACAGAGATAAAAACCCTGTGCCTGTTGTCCACAATATGGGTTGGAAGAAATAAAAATTAATAATTTAATATAGCAGAATCAATTTTGTTCTAGTGGTGAATATGGTTCTTTAGGAAGACAGAGAGAATTCTTGGCTCTGTCAGAATCAGTTAAGTGAAAACATGATCTGAACTTTGAAGAGAAAGTTTGTGCCACCAAAAGAATAAAGAGAGGGAGACAAAAGGAAAATCTTTTATGAATTGAGATCAATATTGAAAAAGGTAAAGCTGAAAGTCTATCAACAAAATCGGAAACCCCAAAAAGATGCTATGCATTTATTTGGTGCTCCTTTCCTGAGACAAAATTCAATCAAACGAAGTTGCCTGGGAGAAGTACTGCAATTGTGGTTTGAATACTGAACTTCCATTTTGTGGTAGAAAGGGTAAAACATTTAGCCCTGGACTGGCACAGAAGAATAAGGCACAGAAATTTATTTTATAAAGATGGATTCATGTGTTTCAAATTTTCTTTTAATTTTTTTCTTTTATGTGCATTCATTTAGTACTCATGTATCTTACAAACCAATATTAATAGTTGCAAAATTTTTTAACTTTTGTTTTGCTTTTACCTAAACAAAAAATTCTCCAAGACAAAAGCAATACAATATATATTAAACTTCTGCATTTCAAAAGCTAATTGGAATAAATCACAAATTTAAGCCAACTTGCCATCTTCATGCCGGAGGTACTGGTTTCCGCCTCTGTCTCTAGCTAATGACCATGCCTCTCCTTCATCACTCTCACAGAACTCTACCATGCTGTTCTTATCCAGCTGCACCCATGTACCTTCAGAATTGGTTACCTGGTACATAACAAAAAGCACGATTGATTGGCTTTATTCTTTCAGGGCACTCAGGCTGAAAACCAGTAAATAGCTTAAGTGTTTGAACAGTGTAATCATTCCAATACAATTTTACTGTGAAACAAATTTCTGAAATTAAGACCACAGCCTGAGGTAAGACAGAAATCAATACAAAGTACTGTAAAATACTGCTTACTTATAACTTTGGTTAAAATAATAATTTTTAAAGCACAAAGATAATCCCTAAATAATTTTAAGCATTACCCAAAAACACATGGCTCATTTTTTTTCTTTCTTTTTTTGCATCAGAATGTCATAACACAGCATACTTGCTATTATTTAGGTTGATAGTACCTATATGGCAACTCGAAAATAACTCTTACACTGAGAAATAGCATGACACACTACATCTTCAAGCTTATCAGCTGAGAGGCAAATGCCACAGTGGCCTAATGAGTAATTTTATTTGCTCAGGACTTCAGTGAGACCTATGAATGGGACCAAAAAAATGAAACCCTTTGTATATGATCACAGCTCCATACCGATTCACATAAAATATTTTAAGTGCTGATAATCCGTGACGGTATAGTACATTTGTAATAATAAAAAGATATATGCAAATACCAAACACTGATATACACAATACAAATCATTTGTTAATATGCATATTGTTTTCACAAGGATAATTATGAGGATAACACTATTAGAAAAGAAGCACAAAAAATTATGTTAATATTTTTAATACAAGTAAAGATAAAGTACACTAACATTTAAAAAGTTAGGATGGAAATGACAACCTTTGGAAGAAAGAGATGCTTTGGTTGTATTACATTAAAAATGAATATCATTAAGCTACAAGAATCCATACCTCTCCCACTGCTTTGACTTTGTTTCCCAGAACTAACATTCCAATTGGGATACCTCTAAGGTTAGGGCAGCTTCTGATGTTGTGACCTGAAGGTCCCGTCTTCACTACCTTGTACATTCCTGGCCCTCCTCGCAAGAATGGCATATCTTGTTCTTGCATTGTTGCTTCCTGTGGGCAGCAGGAGTTTATGTCTTTGAAAAAGTCATCAGTATTAGTTTTAGGTTCCTGAAAATTTGAATAGGAAAAAAAAATAAAATACAAACTATCATCACCTTCAAAATCCTCCTACTAATAGCTCCCATAGCAAGTCTACAATACTACCAATTAGGAAAAATACATACATAAAAATAACCGAAGTATTAGTCAATACCACTACTAAAGAATCTTTCAGTTTTTCACACTAAATTATGTTTAAAATAAAGTTGAAATGAAGAAAATGTAACAGGAGAGCAACTGAATCCCTGGCTTTTGCCCACCACAATTTGAGAAATACAATAGTCTTTTATTTTACTTTTAGCTTTCAATGTGATATATAACAATAGGAGAAATTAAAAAAAATGTACTATGTGAATCACAACTGAATAAATTTGAATCAGTATAACTGCATTATTGTACATTGGTATAAGCAAAAAAGTCTAAATATGCATTTCTTCCCACTTTGTGATAATTATTTACAAATAGATAAAATAGGTATGAAGACTCTGGAGATTTATCTATAGGCAGAGATAATAATGATGAAAAATATGCATAAAATATATCTTCATCTTAATACTTGACAGTTATGAATGAAATGAGAATGCTTATAAGATTTTAACTGTTCATACTTTCTTAATATCTTATAAATGAAAATGTCTTGCTGCATTGGCTAGGCCATTACTACACAGTGACATATTAAAGCTAGTAACAGAAAAAAATTATATTGTTAGCAAGGAGATGAGATTAACATTAAAGATACATTTTTAAGTAAATATAATACATTTACATTTACATTACTGAAAAGAGTCACTTCTAAATTGAGAGAAAAGAACTTGCCCTAAATTTCCTGTTGAATCTGAATGCTGTGATGAAATTATTTCCTATGTGAATGCAATAAAGATAAATAATAACCTTTCCATATTTTTTCTTCTTCCCAACTAAATGTAATAAAAGTTCCACACTGGGGGTTCTTCCATAGCCATTATTACTCCTTTAAAACAGATTTAAAACTGGACTTCTAAATGCACTAACATGGACTCTATAAATTATATTCAAATAGAGTAGAAGATAACCATAACAGACACTCATCCAAATATTAGGGTAAAATTAATACTTAATAATGTTATAGATAGAATAAAAATGAAAATAACAATATGCAAGATAAAATTTTACTGAATAGTTCTATCCCTATAGGTAGTCTTATATTAGGAGATATGTAGACATATCCATATGACTAGTGGGATATTAAAAATAAAATTCTTAGGTTAAAAATTATATAAACTCAAGAATTCTGTGTTATCTGTGACTGCTAATTCAATATACAGTTGGTCAAGGAAAATTTTAAAACCACTATTAACCTTCACGTAATATTTTGTAAATCTCATTGTTGTGATGAATAATCACTTTTAACTTATACAAAATGTACTACAGACAATAATTTATTTACATTTAAGTAATTATCATACTGTATTTGCCAACTTCTTTTGTTATATATTGGCAATTTAATGGAAATGAGATTTTTAAGCACTCAAAAAACTTAGCATAATTTACAACTGAAAATAAATTTAAAATATGCATTTGATACATGCATGTATATTTGTAAAAATTTATATTTATGCACAACTATATTAATACACAGACAACAATCAAAAAATGAGAGTAAGACAGATCTAAACTTTATTTTATTTTATTTTTCCTTTTTGTCTTTTTTACTGACCGGTAATGGGATCGCAACCCTTGGTGTCGCGCCCGTACCGGGGACCGGCAACGGGATCGCAACCCTCGGTGCTGCGCCCACACCGTGCTCAGCCAGCAAGCGGGAACCGGTCTCCACATGGGATCCGAACCCTCGGCGGGAGCGCCGCCGCGCTCCCAAGCGGCGCACTCTCCAGTGCGCCACCGGGCCAGCCCAGATCTAAACTTTAAATAGTGCTACTACACTCACAAGGTATTCAATAAACATGTAAAAATGTCATTGTGAATGAGCAATTTTAGTAAATACATCATGCCATCCACAGGTGGATGAAGCACGTTTTAGCACTATTTACAACTGATCTTTAAAAATTACATGGTGACATAAGAAAACAAGCAAATATGCATATACTTAGCAAAAAAACAATTTCATTGGTGTTTAATGACACTCCTAGAACATTTAATTAGTTACACAGTAATTCAACTTTTGATCATTCAGGTTAACACTCGGAGATAAATCTCTGCAAAACTAATAAATCCTGGCAAACTACTCACTGAAAGGCAATATATAACAAGTTGTATTAAAGTAGCTAATATTTTATTGAGTAGTTAATAAAACTATATAAATTAATAAATGTAAAATAGTTTATCTACTTTTTTTGCACTAAACAGTGTAAAAAATAAGTGATAGAGACAAAATCATGGAACTTGTTCCCTGTCATTCTCAAGTAATCCTAACATACACATTTTATTCAATACAGAAACATGAGACCTGGGCACTAGCATTTGAAACTGGTGAATTTCATATGACTTTTTTCTCCCTCCATTCTTACCCCATTCTCTGATGAACATTCAAAAGGGCAATGTGAACAGAGTAGACAGTGGAAAAGACAGAAGAACCATAAGGTTGGGACATGGCCACCTAAATAAGTTAGTTCTGAAAAAACTACACTTGGATGTGATTGTTGGGGAAACTAGTCACATAGCAAATTTGAAGTCACATAAAAGTTTCACTTAAAGAAATAATACATTCTTTGGCAGGAGTACAGGGAAAACTCAACTGTAGTACTTTGTTTAGATCTTTTTTTGGTTAAAAAATTTTTACTAATCTTAAGCAAAGGCTTCAAAGATATAATGTGAAATTTGTTATACATGCTGAAATACCTGAGAATAATGTATGATTGTTCCTTACAGTTAACTCACCTGGGGGGAAAAAGCTTTGGAAGTCCATGAAAATACGTCCAAATCCCTGACTCCTTGGCTAGCATTAAAGATATTCTGAGCAACAAAGTTTAAGAAAGAAAAATATCAACAAAGAAAGGAAACAGGATATCATCTGCAGAAGACGCGTTCACAGTAACAACATTTTTCTGTACTCTTGTACCGACATGGAAATCTTTTACTAAAAGGAAACTGAAGCCACCTGAGTAAACCACACACCAATAAAATTTTGTCAAAAGCTCTCCATGGATATAGTGTGTCATGCCATTTACTAAAATTAAGAGCCAGACATTTTTATAAAGCTTAAGACAGTCAATGCAAGAGGAAACCTTAAAACTCCTTAAATGAGGATGTATTTGTTCTAATATAAGCCAGATTTGTTTTATGACAGAAAATAGTCTGCTGTTTCATAATGAAAATGTAAATAACATAGATTGTATAAATAATGCAACTATTATTATGATAATAATGGCATGTTGTACATGTAAATTAATTATCACTTTTTAAAGTTCAAAAATAAAAAAGTAAAAAGTAAACCAAAACAAAAAATGTAAGTCATTTTTCAATATTCCTCCCCTCTATAAATGGGAAAAATCATTTGGAAATGTTTCTGAAAGCTATTAGCAAATTTGTTAAGAAGAGCATAAAGAAAGACATACAATCTGAATTTTTTATCAGAAGACAGGCCTACTCTTCTCTATCTAAAAGTTTAGAAAATGCACAGAGCATTTAGAATCTCTACGTTAGTCTAAAAATATTTTGTTAAAGAATAATTAATTCACAGCACCATGATCCCAAGACAGGCCTACTCTTCTCTATCTAAAAGTTTAGAAAATGCACAGAGCATTTAGAATCTCTACATTAGTCTAAAAATATTTTGTTAAAGAATAATTAATTCACAGCACCATGATCCCAAAAAAATCAACATTTTCACAAAATGTCCTCATAAAAATTGAAATGATATAGATTTTACATAGATGTATCATGTTATCAATCTGATCTGAAATTAACATCTTTCTAGTGAGTAGCAATTGCACAGTTTTACTGCTTATGTCACATTATATTGTGATAAAAGGTTATTCTGGACCAAAAAAGAAGACATTCAAAATGTTAATAAAGATTATCATCATCTGAGACATCAACACAAAAGAAACATCACAATTCTTATCCAAATATACGTCATTTGAGGCAATGAGAATTTAATTAATATTGTCTAGTTCTATATTTTCCTCTTGTATATATGTGTATGGACAGATGTAGATACACACCCATATACATACATACATGTGAATTCAGAAATATAAGACATATAAAGGCCAGGGAAAAAATGAGTTTCTAATAATATGCTTACAAATAAATGCAAACCAAAACCAATTAGCCTCTCCAATTTTTAAATGGATAGGGGATAGGGTCTTTTCTCTTTAGGAAAAATGGAAACATATTGTATAGCATTCTGAAATGCTATTTTTTGGGGGAGAAGATGTCCATACTGGTTCATTTACATATATAAGAATTGGTGGAGTATTTTCTCAGTGGTTTTTCCTCCCTCATAGAGAATAATGGTGCAGACCTTTTGACATAAAACATATCAAAAAATTTTTAGCATTTTTTGGGTTTTAGCATAAATTATTCTAGTACTAAAAGCAACATGAAAAGCAATTATTAAAAGCAATGCAGATGAAGTTAGTGATAAAGAAGCGATGCAGTGACTGACAATATTTAAAGCTTATACCTCTCATTTCAATGTGCTATCTTGATGATACTTTAAATTGATGTAACTGCTAACCATAGTAATAAATTGCCAATAAAATCAATTTTATATATGTTACTTATAGTGAATTCAAATTTAATATTGTTTTGCTTTTGTTCTGTAGTTGTAGAAAATTCTTAGTCCATACTGGCATACTATAAGATTATTTTCAAAATGCAGTATCCTAATAAGATTTGCATTTATCAAGTATCAAAAACTCACCAACTAGAAAGCTGAGTTTAAAAATTAAATATACCTGAATAGCTTTGTTTTGAAAACTCAGGAACTTTTTAGTCCAAATATTTTCATGCATGCATAATATTTTAATTTCTCTAAAGTTTCAGTTTCTCACTATTATACAAATTAG